AGTCCGCGCTGCCTCTGTCCTCTCCTTCTTGTTATCGGGACGGTGTCGCGAGGCGAGCGGGGCCCGGCCCGGGGCCCCGGGTGGGTCTGCGGCTGCGGCGGAACCGACGACGACGGGGAACCGATACCCGCGATAAAGGCTGCGGGCGGTGCGTGGCCTTGGGCTGAGGCTATCCCGGCCGAGCCCCGGCTGGCGATCCCCCTCCGTCTCGCGCGGCGCACAAAACGAACGTCCCATCGGTCGGATCTAGTTCTAGTGCCCCGCCCCGCCCCGCTCCAGAGACAATGGGCACGTGTCTATCTGCGCCCCGCCGCGCGCGCGCCGCGCTGTTGGTCTGCCTTGTTTGAACAACACGACGCGCGGCGGCGCGGCGCACTCCGTCGCGAGGCCTAACTGTTTCCGACGCACGGCGGCGCGGCGGCGGCGGGGCGGGGCGAATGGATTCCCCCGCGAGGTGTAAACTCGTTTGCGCCGATTCCGGGAAGGACGATTATCGCGTCGCACAACACGCTCATTCAGGTCGATGTATTGACACCGACAGCTTTATGCTCAGCTGTTCCCCTCTCCCCCCTCCTCTCTCTGCATGGTGCTTTGAGCTGAGCAGGTCGGAACAAGTCTCCCCCCCCCTTCCCCCTCACCCCATACCCCGCCGACGGTCTCGTGAGACGCCCGGCGGGGCTCAGAGAGTACAGGTGTGCCTCGGCCAGCGCCTCCTTCCATCCACCCATCTACCCATCCATCTTGCTCGGCCAGCCTATCCAAACACTCCGCGCCCTCCTCGCGGAGCCGGGCCGCCCTCGCACTCACCCGGTGCACCGCGCCTGGCAGGTCCCCGTTGTGGAGGGTCAGTGTGCAACCCGAGCCGGTGCCGGTGCAGCCCCCGTGCTATGATGGGGCCGACGCCTGGAATGTGGGGTGGAGGGTGGCGGCGGCCGGGTGGATCGGGTACCCCAATCCCCAATCACAACATGACGGCCGGGGCAGCAGTGCTGCAGGTAGACGGGCACCGTATTTCACCTGGGGTGCGCGAGACTGTTTCGGGCCTGTGTAAGGGGACTAGAAAAAGGGAATAAAGCGCATAAGGGAAAATGACAATTAAAGAATTTCTTTATTTCTCGTTTTTTTTCGGTGCTTTTTTTTTTTTGCTCTTCCCGCTTTTGCTCATTGACGGAGAAAAGCAGAACAGCCCACGCAGCGGTGGGCTGGGCAGGGCGGTGTATTGTCTCCGGGGAACAAGGTGTGGATGGACGACGGTTGGGGGGCCTCGGCCGGAGCGCTCCGCTGCCCTGTCTGTCTTGTCCGGACCGAACACGGCCTCTTCACCAACCACCAACCTCACCTTTCTTTACCTCTGGGGCCGGGGCAGGAGGG